CCCCCAAAACCCCAAAACCCCAGGCTGTAAATTAAACTGTGAATACTAGCATATTTATAATTAATTAAAGCTATATCAGTTGCGCAAGAATATATTAATTTCCTCTTATTAAGAGTACTTTTCTATTATTCAATCACAAACTCTATCTGAATATATAAGCATATTACACTAACATCTCCCTAGTCAAATCAATTTCAGCGCCATAAGGTGAGATAGAGCGAGAGTCCAATTCATATAGAGATTTGTGTATAGATAGCCGATGCATAACAACTCATACATTATAATGACCACCAACTTATGTATTATTTATTCATTCTAGGAGTCTAGCCACCTCCAGATATTTCTGGGACGAATACTTTTTATATATACTTTGGAGGGATGAATTTTCAACGTTTTTGATGAACTGCAGCAGGTCTATAGCCATGCCTCTTACTTCATCTTCTTTGTAAGATGTATTTTTACTCAGAGTTGCGTTCCACACTGTAGCTTAGGTTCCCTTCATTACTCTTTGAGCTGCGTAGAGAGACACTGCTGCCAACTTAGAGGGTTTCTCCTTCATTAGAGTACAGTCTAAGAGACAGCTCTCACAGAGATAGGCAGACAGCAGCTGAGTTCTCTCGTTGACCTAGGCGATTCGAGAATACCTCTCCATGAATCTGAACATTGAAGGGAAAGTCACATTGAAGTCAAGGTTCTGCAGCATCTTGAATTCCAGCTTCAGGACTTGGTCTTTAGTAACTGCGTTGTCAGTAACTCTAAGCAGATCCTTAAGGGTAGGTGGATAGATTTCCTCATATTTACCTGCTATGTGCAAGGCTGTCAAACCTAGACACTATAGATCTCTCTTCTTAAAATCATTCTCGACCATCAAGAACTTATCAATGAGGCCAACGCATACATAAAGAGTTTCTGGCCATAGTTTAAATTTGATATGAAGTTCAGTAAGCCAGTCGATCAAATATGCTCTCATTTTCTCAGTTACTTCAGCCTAATTACTCATAAAGTCCTTAGGATACAAGTGGTTAACCTCCTCTAAATGCATGTTTTTATATATCTGTGGTGCGTATTCAGCCACACTCTAAGGATTCCTCATGTCCAGAAGATCACACACCTCAAGATTTCTGGTCAATGTCTTCATTCGCTCTTTCCTTCGATCCTCCATAATTTATGCCACCATATCAAATGTCTCCTGAGATAATTTCTTAGGCTGCTGTATATCTTAAGGCAGGTGCTCCTTGAATAGCTACTCTGGCTAAGCTGAGGAGGTAGTTGATTACGGGGCTTGAATGTTTTATGCTGGCTGTATAACTTACTAAGATGAGGGTGGAACGTTCTCTTTTTATCTCAGTGGTGCTCGGGATGGATCTGTTGTCTTAGATCGCTTTAAGATGCTACTTGAACTGTGTGCTGATGTGGGCGCTGCATTTGCCTAGCGATTAGTAAACTCTCTCTTGTTTTCCTTATCCTCTATATTGTTACTATGATTGGTGTTGTTCATCATATTAACATTGACATTGTTATTGCTATTATTTTAATTTACCACTCCACTGTTATTGTTGTTATTTTAAAAGCTATTCTTAGTAGCCAATAATTTATAGTGTATCTACGAGGCTTGAAGTGACTATACCTGCTAAAAAGTAGAGTTTTAATGGCTTTAATGTGAGCTGTAAGCTGCTCTCTAAGTATTAGAATTCATCATGTTGTTTAATTTGCCTGCCATGGTTTTCTATTAAAGAATGTGTTAAGCTGCTGCTTATCTGCTGACTATAGTTCCGCTTGGTTGTTTATTAGACATGATGATACTGGTCGAAGCACCTCCTTAAGCGATGCCTGAGTTATTATGAGCTCCAGTAGCGACTAAAGAAGTATTGCCGCCAGCTTTATCCTCATCCTTAAGCTTTGTTGGCAACTCTGTTGTCAATTGTTAACCAACTCTGCGAAACTCATCACCAATACCATTTCTTCTTGTACTTCCTGCATTATTACCATGATGACTTGATGATCCGTGTTTACCTCTAAGTTACTCTCTAATGTGATTATTCATCTGAGCTACACTTTATTACGATTACATTTGATGCGAATTTCTAGAACCACCAGCACCGCCTGTGGAATTCCCACTCATATCAAACATTTTTAGATTAGTTCCTTACGAGGATGGTGCTCTACTATTTTCGCCTTCTGCTATATTTATCAATGCTGAGTTATGATGATTAGAGGTTGATATATTAACCTGATTAGTATTTGCTGTGGTATTACCAGAATGATTTATGGTATTGGCTGAGGTGGAACCAACTCCTCTCTGAGAGGGGTAATTAGTTTAGTGGGTGGAGATATTGATCTTATTGAGATCAAGTTTTGATAGATGATTATTAGCGTGAGAAGTATTGCCCTTAGGTGCATTACTGGCACTCCCGCTTCCATGAGACTGATACTAAGATATGAAGTTCTTAAACAAATTTATATTGCTACCACTTGCTTAATTAGTAGTGGAACTGACTATTTAAGGGTGATTCAAGAGTTTCGCATTGATAATCTGAGGATTTTAATGCGAAGTGCCTGAGTTACCACCATTATTAGATAAATCTCGCCCGAATTCTCTATGCGATTGATAATGATCTTTGCTTAAACCCTGCATTGGACCTGCAGTGCCTTGCCTTCTTGACTCACCTTATCCTGTTCGATTAAGCTCTACTGCTGCTAGCAAGTTCTAAAATTTATTTTCTTTGTTTACTAAGATCAAATTGCTATTATTATTGTTGCTGATTGTATTGTTACTATTTGTGTGATGGTCTCTGCTATTTCCGACTTGCCTTGTAGTATAGTGTGTCTATACATATTATCATTAATAACTGTTGACCACTGAGTAGGGGTGGGAGTTAGTAAACTTACCTAATGTGTGGGACCATTGACTGTGTTTCCTTTGGTTAGCATAGTTTCAATAATGAGTTTGTAAATATTCTACACTCGAACTAACTTTCTTAGTTTTATGTTTATAATTTGTATAATCCATACCTCTTCAAATTATTAATTTTTAAATTTCTACGTATGAAATTTAACGTCTATATTTCCAAAAATCTTTCCGATCACTTTTTCTCTCATATTTGCACTCTTTGGGGTTTTGGGGTTTTGGGGTTTTGGGGTTTTGGGG